TATTGTACACAGGTAAGTTGGGGAACTAGGGATCGAGCCCTGGGACCTACATCAGCTACTTCGAACTGGTGAATACCGTTTCAACATTGCGGATCCTTGGTTATATATGTACATCACCCAACTGGGCATGTAACGCGCACACACACACACACACACACACACACACACACACACACACACACACACACACACACACACACACAGAAACAATCAATCAAGCGATAGCATGTTGGCAGAGGGAAAGGAGGGGAAAGGATGTCGCTGCAGTCAATGATGGATTTTTCAACTTTTCTTTCTTTTAATTCCTTTTTTACTTAGTTAAAGGGTTCCATTTACCGAATTCTTGTCTCTCACCATTTTCTTCTGGTATTCCTCTGATTTCTTCTCTGCTATGTCCTTCAACCTTTGGAGATCAGCATTCTCAGACACGATCTGCTGCAACCTGCAATCATCAAGGCAGTGACCTTTCAGGTCCTGAGGTTGCTTACCACAAAGAATTCCCTTCTGTTCATCTTTCCTTACGCAGCAGTGCTTGAAAGTTCGACCTGATTTCTAACCTCCCGCAATAATAGCCTTAGGCAGGGGTGAGGGAAGGTACATCCCTCCAGAAGGAGGTAATCTATGCCGCCGACTCGGATCTCTCAACCATAACGGGGAGAAACATTGGAGTGTGTATTTATTGTAAGCTTCATGACTTGACGGTGGGAAAGAAAATGAAAAAAATCCCGTGTGTTCAGTCCCTTCCCCTTCCTCCCCCTCCTCTCTCTCTCTCTCTCTCTCTCTCTCTCTCTCTCTCTCTCTCTCTCTCTCTCTCCCCCCCCACCTCCTCACCCTTCCCTTCCCCCCCTGTCCTTGCCCCCTTCCCTCGCTGTCTCCTCTCTCCAACTGCAGCGTTCCCTCCCTCTTGGTGATGGACTTATTGTCTTTTCGAGGTTACCCAGCATTCTGTTATCGGTAACGTAGTGGCAATTATGGCCGTATAATCTCCAGATTCACCTTGACTGTGGAGCTGCAGATTCTTGTTTGACTGAGAGGGGAAAGTCCTGTGTACTCGAACAGTATTGAACTCTTCATCATATTTCATCTGCTTTATCAACAGTGAATGACAGGCTCTGTTCAGCAATGGTGAAAGCGGACCGAATGCCCCATATGCATTCAACAGGATTCAACTGCTCTTTATGTGCTTCATCCACAGTTAACACCTGTGTGTACCATTCAGCTCCAGGCATTTAAATGGAGTGTACACTCCTGGGTTGGTTCGCTTTTCCACATACTTTATGTGCACTGCATCTATCTCGATGCTGTAACTCGTGTGCCAAAACTAAGCCGCTAGGCTCCGATCGTGCCCTCAGCCCCCCAAAAACAAGCACGAACGGGCAGGCCCTGGAAAAGGTCAAACAGGCCCTAGGAAGAGGCCCAGACTGACACTGACCGAAATGTCATAGTCAACTCGTGGACCCAGGCCCAGATCCGAGGAGTCAAAGTCAACACATAAGATTTCCTGGCTGTCGATCTGGAATGATCTAATGGTGGTCTGCAGGTTCCGGAAGATTCAGGCCTCAAGGAATCCAGACCAAAACAGGGACAAATTGCATCTGAGCCATCGACATTCGGATGATCCAGGGTCTCACATAGACAGAAGCCGATCCCGGACAATGCGAGTCAACACTACATAGACTTGACCTCGCCACTGCTTGGACATTCAGTCTTGCGAGTTGCTTGTGGTTTCAATGCTGCATGTGAGACTTGAGAGGTGGACGCTGGCGCCAGTCTGTTCCGTGGGCGCCAACCAGATGCTGTAGTATGAGAGGAGAGAGAGGAGAAGGCAGCCATTGCTGCGGCCATAGACGACGGCGAGGTAGTGAGGAGAGAGAGAGAGTGTGTGGGTGAGGCGTGATGTCGTGTGCGCGTACCTGGTCTCACCTGATGTGATGCGGCTGCTGATTCTGCTCGCTGCTAAAGGATCACTCATCTGCGAGGAGCTGCATTTACATCATCCACGTGTCATACTGTGTACAGATTGCCGACGTGGCAGAGGTGGGGGAATCCTGGAGGAGAAGAGGGACTTGATTGCTACGATATTCTTCTCTTGCATCTGTCTCTTCTTCCCCCCTCTCTGTTCTAGTCTGGATACTCTTGACTTGGAGACTTTACACGTGGTAATGAACGATCATGTATTTCAACGACTTCAAATTTGATGGACTAGCTAGAATGAGTATCTCACAACATTGCACGACATTGCTATCTGGCAACATGATTGATTGACGAGACTGGGCTCATTGCAATTTGGTATCAGAGCGAACTCACCTCATCTCGCCGATTTGCTGCTCGTGCATTGAGCCTCACTGCTCGTCACCATGAGCGCACACACACACACATTGAGATATCACACGAAATCCACACTGCAGTCCAGAGATGTAAAGTCCAGATATGCTGTTACATGCCCAGTCGGGCGATGTACACAATAACCGAGGATCCGCAATGTGATGAGAAGGACTGAATGGACAATGCAGTGCAAGTAGAATCTCAACAAGCAATGTGCATTCCGATACATACAAAATGGTGCTGAATAGCGCAGGGAAGACTTAGATACAAATCCTGACCTGACCGGGACTGACCTCTTTCACGTAGTACAAGATAGCGAAGCAGAATGCTAGAGTAATAATGACTAGCCCAATCAATGTTTCAACACAGACCAAACATACATCATGCTCATCACAAAGTGTGAAGGGGCCTGGCGCTATACACAGGAAAGAGGCGCCAGGTCCAGACATACACAGACGAAGAGGAAGGGATCAGACGAAGAAGAGGAAGGGGGAGATGGGACAGTCGTCAACACCGAGTCTCGTTACACGTCCCAAATAATCCCTCTTCAAAATGTCTAAAGTCCCATGTCGATTCTGGATCCAATGTCACCAAGCTCTCTCTCTCTCTCTCTCTCTCTCTCTCTCTCTCTCTCTCTCTCTCTCTCTCTNTCTCTCTCTCTCTCTCTCTCTCTCTCTCTCTCTCTCTCTCTCTCTCTCTCTCTCGTAGTCTGCTGATGCAGTGAAGTCAGATAGCGAGAGGGTGAGAAGGAGATGGTGGACTGAGAAGAGGAAGAAGAAGAACTCTCTCTCTCTCATGAGCCAGGTACTAACCTGTGAAGTTGGCGCTGTGCTGCAGGTACCTCGAAGACGAAGCTGGAGCAACAGCGCTGCAGGTAAGTACCCCTGGCCTCCGCCCGATCTCTCGCTCTCTCTAGTATGACTCTAGCTATGGCGCCCAGCGCTGAAGACTACACCTAACGCTACTACCGCCCAGCGCTGAAGACTACCTGCTAACGCTACCACTACTCCTGCAGCGCTCCTCCAGAGTGCTGCTGCCGAATCCTGAAGACTACTAACTGCCTCCTGCCTTACGTGAGGTGCCTGGGAAGTACCTAGGAGCTACCTCCCAACGACCTGCAGCCTGCAGGGCGGGCCAGTCTTATATAGTGCTGGCCCGTCCAGGAGGCTGCTCTTGCCAATGCCAAAACGTGCCAGACCCTGGGGTTGAAGCTCAAACAAGGGTTGTCTTGAAAATAGGCCAAAAATGGCCTGAGCTAAACCCCTGGTCTGGTGCCTGAGTTTCAGGGCAGGTCAAACTGATGAGGGCCTGAAAATGGCCCTCAGTTTCGGGCTGAAAATACTCAGGGCCGGAAAGGCCCTGATTTAGCCTGAAACGACACAGGGCCTGTAGGCCCTTGTTTTCAGGCTTTCAGGCTGAAACGACACAGGGCCTGTAGCCCCTTGTTTTCAGGCTTTTAGGCTGAAAACGACCCAGGGTCTGTAGGCCCTCGTTTTCAGGCTTTCAGGCTGAAAACGACATGGGCCTGAAAATGGCCCGTGCAGCCTGTTGCAGGCGCAGCATGTAACACCCCCCCTGCTTATGAAGTCAAGTCGAGTCGAGGGCGAAGCTGACGGTCTGAAGGTGGAACCTGGTCGCGGGTGCGACGTGGAGCCAAAGATACCGGCTTGCCTTGCATCAGTACACAAAGTGTACCAAGTATTCGGTCGGTTTGTTATTGTAGCTGTGGTAAATGCAGCCGTTTGGCGGCACGGCACCGGCCTCAAGAATGACCTCGTGAGAGATCGGCCGATCTGGCACCACACCGGAAGATGTCGGTGAACTCGTCAAGCAACCGCACCACACGGGGGTCCGAAGACAAGGCTGTGGGGGAAGAATCGACTTGGTCGTCACCACTTGGCACCGGGTCGAAGGGTGCGGAAGAGGAATAGTACACGGTGCTTCGGCGCCGAAAGCGTCGCGAACGGTAAGAGTCCGCCGGTGGAAGTTGACCTTGTGATTCGCACTTGCAAGCCAAGGCATTCCCAAAATAATGTCGAAGTCTGTGTCCAAAATGTCGAACGTGGCCGGTTCGCATGCATGAGGTGCGAAATACACCGGTACGGCCTCGATGTAAAGATCGAGAAGTTGCTGCGTCTTTCCATCCGCCTAACTTGATCGCCGTCGGGTTTGCCTTCCTCCGAACTTGTGCGCCAAGGCCAGCCCTTTGCATAAAGGCTTGGCTCATGAAATTGAGAGACGCGCCGCTATCCAAAAAAGCGCTGCAGGACGCTTGCCCAACCTGGATGCGGACATACATGAGCAGTGCGTTGTTGTCAGCATACCGCTGCGTGGGAAACTCGCGGGCCACCTTAGTAACATATGCAAGGATGTCCCCCACCGCGACTTCGTCATCCGTCGGCAAAGTTGGTGGTGCATAGAAGGATAAGTACGTGTGGAGATGAGTGCATAGTGTTGCGCATTGCGGTCCCGACAAGCGGCCAGTGGTCGGTAGAGGAAGCCATGCGAAATCCCCGGACGTGAGCGGGTCCAATACCTCTATGTTGAACTCGCGCGCCGAATCCCGTGAAGAACCACTTGAAGACGATAAGTCGCCGCTGCCGGACGGAGAAGATGCCGCACACATGTTTTGTCCTTGCGCTTGAGTACCCAGCGTAGGAACGAGCCGGGCAGCATAGTCCTCAAAAGAATAAAGAGGAGGAGGACTATCGACTTCCTCATGTGCCTCGGAACGAAGGGCGGTCACCCGCGAAGTGACCGGTTCCGAAGGCGTCGAGAGTGTCGTCGAGTCACTCCCGGCGGTGCTCAGTTTCCCGATTTGCCCTCGCCTTTTGACGGGCAAGCCATTGTCTCATGGAGATCGTTGTTGCACCATTGACAATAGTGAAATCTCGTGCGTGCTTTGAATGCTTGCTCGGAGAGACCATATTGGGACCATGGGGCTGGAGCTGCTGCGTCGGGCTCGGGGCTAGATGCGGTGTTTGTCTTCGCCTTGCCGCATCCTCGGCCTTTGTCGGGGCGGCGACCTTCCCGGGCGGCTGCGAGTCTGTCCCCTTCATTGGCAGACATAGCCTCGCTAGTTTGGTCAAGCGGCGTTGCCGCTGCAACCACGGCCACTTTCGACCGATGTTGATCTCTGCTCGGGTCTGCCGCAGACAAATGCAGGTTCTTAGCCTCCTTGTTCGTGACAATAATCTGCGCGGCCTTGTCAAATAGTTCCGCCGTTGTCGTCAGGGTGTCCTCGACATGAGTCAAGGCATTGCTCAATGTCAGACAAGACCTTGAGATAAAATAGTGGCGGATGGCTTTGAAGCCCATTTGGATGTCTGGGACGGATGTCAAGCGTTGGTAGTCGGCAATCCAGTCGGTACTCGGCAGCGTGCCTTGTTCAAAGACCATTAGCTTGTACATTGCCTTGATCTCCGGCGGCTCTACTTGGAACAGCTTGTGCCATGCCGCCTTTAGATCATCCCAGCTGATCTTGGTGTGCAACTCTGCAGCGACCACCCGTACTTGGACAAGAGATTGTCCAGGCTTGACATGCGCCTCCCGACCGGGAGTATAAGTACGCGTGGTGCTTGTATTCGCTGACGAGATGGAGCTGCAACGTCAGTTCAAACTTGCGGAACCACGGAATGGGGTCCGTCTTCGTCGAATCGTAGAAGATCTCGTCCATCGAACTTTGGAGTTGACTCCCGCTGTCCCAAACTAGGGTTGGCGGCTGCAACACAGATGTGCTGCTCCAACTGTTGCGTCGCGGTGTGCTGTAACTGCACGCCGTCCTTGAGGGATCCGACGTCCATCTCCAAAGCCTCAAGGCGATCGGAGGTGTTGGAGGAGCTGGCAACGGGGGCGGCGATGGTTTGTTCCAGCTGCTGGAGGTGGTTATCGAACGCCCGTTTGTGCTGATGAACTATGTCGTCGAGGCTGTGGATGTCCTCCTGCTGTGCAATGCATGTGGTTCGGAGGTCCGTGAGATGGGAGAGAAGTAGAGCGATCTTGTTTTCACTCTCCTCCATCTTTCCATTCTCGGCCTTTGTCCGCCATTCTGCTGCCATTGTGAGCAAGGCTCGCTCTCTCCCGAATATCTTCTCGCGTCGTTGAATTCGTTCTTCATCGGCAGCCCTTGCTGCTGCCTCGTCTTGCTGGCGCTGCTGTTCGATTGCCAACAGACGTGCCTTCTCGGCGTCTTCTGCCTTCTTCTTCGCTGCGGTTGCTGCATCATCCGCCCGTTTCTTGGTTTCGGTACTCCAGGCCAGCATCCGGGCCTGATAGGCCTCGTCCGTTTCCCCGGACCTCTGGTCCATGACGGCTGCTTGTGAACGCAACAGCATAGACCAGGCCGGGGGCCTGCTGACGTGGTACTCGCTGCTGGCGTGGCCTGCTGTTGGCTGACGTGGCCTGCTGTTGGCTGACGTGTCCTGCTGATGTGTCCTGCTGACGTGGTCTGCTGACATGGCCTGCTGACGTGGCAACTTACCAATGCCGCTGCAAGAGTACCCGAAGACAGCTAGAGAAGATAAGGCGAGAGGGGCAACAACATAGGTGGGGAGGGTGGGTGGGAAAAATCGCCCTGATAAGGAGCCACTAATGAAAAAAGAAAAGTTTGAACTTTGCCAAAAGAATTTCGAGAAAATAGAAATCCCGAGTTTTGCAAGTTCAGTAGGTTTCCCAATCTCCCTTGAAGTTCGAAATTACCAATTAGAAAAAAAATTTCGAGCTTCAGAGTCTTTTTCGGACTCCAAACGATTGAGAACTGTGAATAAAAGAATCCCAAAAATAAAATACAGCAAAATATTTGGAATTACTCAGATGCGCAGTTTGGAAAATGATAACTGCAGGGAGGATTTCCCGTACCGGTTTTAAAAAAAACGAATTTCAAAAAAATATTCCGAACTTCCAAGTAACGGGAAATACAACAGGAAATCGAAATTTTTGAAAAGAGAGATATTCCGGATTTTCAACAACGAAATTTCGGTTTTTCAGAAGAAAAACGAAAACAGAAGTTTCAGATGTTGTGCTATTGCGATTTTCCACAGCAGAAATAGCGAGAAAACAAAATCCAAGAAAAAAAAAAAATTCTGAGTACGGACGCCGCCCGGGCAAACCGGGCGGGCAAAAAAACAGCCCAGAATTTTTTTTTTTTTTTTTTTTCCTGGAGTACTGACGCCGCCCGGCCGGG